TAAAAGCTGTGGCAGAATAAAGTCATTCTCAGATTTACTGTAAAGATCTTTATTTGTTTTCATTGGTTACTTTGCTATTTGTTGAAAAAATTTTACTTTCATTAATATAAATGATAAAATATGGATTTATTACAGTAAAGCTTTATAAATACTGTAATTTAAATAATATAACCTTATTTATTATTTTAAATATATTATTCTATACAATCCACATATTCAAGTTTGTTTAATATGATCTATAAATTTCTTCAAGAAAAGAATCATTAGAGACATGACAGCAAAGTCGTGAGTTCAGCAAAAATTTAGAATTAAGTAGCTGACCACTTGATTTTTGTCTATGATTTGATGTTTAAACAATTTTAATTATCGTAAAAGCTTTTACTTTTTCATATCAAACTAAATGATTGAAATTTCTCTTCAATGTCACATGAAGCTACCTTACAGATTTAATGAGGCAGAGGTAACTTATAACTGTATTTTGGGGGCTCCTGGGTGGCTCAGTCGGTTGAGCGTCTGACTTCGGCTCAGGTCATGATCTCACAGCTTGTGAGTTCAAGCCCCGCAGCGGGCTCTGTGCTGACAGCTCGGAGCCTGGAGCCTGCTTCAGATTCTGTGTCTCCCTCTCTCTCTGCCCCTAACCCACTCGCATTCTGTCTGTCTCTCTCAAAAATAAAAATAAATATTAAATATTTTTTTAAATTAAAAAAAACTGTATTTTGCCATGCGAACATGAAATTGAAGATTATTACTCCCTACGGTAAAAAATAAGTATACAAAAAAGAAAATTGGTGCTTTCCGCTATTTTTATGATTTCATGTTAAATCATGTAATGTTAAATGGCAGTTGAAGTGAAAGAAATGGATGGATGGACAAGCTAAAACTTTCTGACTTTGCCTGATATAAGCCAAGATTGTACTTACTGTTTATTTTGTTTTGTTGAGATCAAATATATACAACCAATCAGGTGGACACAAAATCAGAATCTCTATAGAAAGGATTAATGGGAAGTGGAAATCCTTAAACGCAGATGTCTTCAGACTATGTATTTCATCTGGAGTAGTTTTTCCTAAAGGGCTAATCCAGATCTAACACAACTGCTATGTACCAGTTCTCCCACTGGGCTGTGCTTGAACAAAATAACATTCTTCCAAAAATAGATTCAGAAAGGAACTCGCATTTCATGGTGGTCATTCTTTGTAACTACAAAGCTTCTGTAAAGGAAACATCAAGGCCCCCCTTCAAGGACCTACCTTACTATTAAAAAAAAAAAAAAGAAAAGAAAAGAAAAGAGTCTTCTGTGCAATGAAGAATATTTGGAATCAAATAAGATATTCTGAAATAAGGACCATCACTTTGAACTTCATGAAGAAAGCTTAAAAGGAGATAATGAAAGGGCTGGAGAAAAGTCAGAAAATTAAAAACGCAGAAGGGAGAATGAGCAAGTAGAAAAAAATATATTTTACATGTTCACATATTCCACAGCACTTTAGTACATATTTTCTACTAAAATAACCAAGACAAAATCATTTTGCTCCTAAGTCACCTTTTATCTTGTTAAGTTACACTTTTAAAATAAGAATGATATTTTGTCAACTACACACCATACAAGGCCATGAGGATCAAAATCATTTGAAATAAAGAGTAAAGAGCAACGGTGATATGAGTTATTATAGTCACTATTAACAGTATAATTCATATTGTAAAAGCTGAATTCTTTATTCATATTCATTTGAGGGTTTCTTTAAGGCAAAATTCCTGTATGCTAATTTTGTACAGTTTTTCTCTTAAGTATATACAATTTGATTTTGTCCCAAATTGAATTCCTTACATTCATTTCTGGTGAACCTGGCTTCCAGTATGCTGAAGTAATTTGGAATTGTATTACTATCTTCTACAAGTCCATGATGTTGAATTCTGACTATAAAAACCTTGCAGGATTACTCAAAATTATTTTATATGAATCATCCTAATACTAAAATGGGGTTTATATAAATATGCTATTTTTTAAAATTGCATATATTTGAGATAGATTCCAGCTATTCTCTCTCTCTCATTTATTTGACTTTTACTATCATGGAAATAAATTATATTAGTCATTCCCGATGAAAAATTACCAATATTACCCACAAATTTCAGTGATTATAAATTTATTTTTTGGTTGTTTGCTCAATTAGCAATTTTTAAAATGAATAAACGTAGACAAATTTGACATTTCAGGTATGTTTGTTCTATTTTTATTAATCTGTAGGTTTAAAAAATATAATGTGCTTATTCATCCTTTGTTAATTATATGCATTGTAATACATTTTCCGTATGAAGCTTATCTTTTCTGTTTGGATTTGTTCTCTTTTTGTCTTAAATCCTACTCTAACCATACATACACAATGGAATACTGAGTCATTAAAAAAGATTGAAATCTTGCCATTTGCAACAACATATATGGGCCAAGAAGTTATGCTAAGTAAAACAAGTCAGACAGAGAAAGAAAAATACTATATAATTTCACTTATATGTGGAATTTTTTTAAAAAGAAAACAAACAAACAAACAAACAAGATAGAAATAGTTTCATAGATACAGGAAACAAATTTCCTGATTACCAGAGGTGGGGAAAGGTTGGGAGCAGGGCAAAATAGGTGAAAAGGATTAAGAGGTACAAACTTCTAGTTATAAAATAAATAAATCATGGGAATGTGGTGTAAAGCACAGGGGATATAGTCGATAATTTTGTAATAACTTTGCATTGTGACAAAAAGTAACTAGACTTCTCAGGGATCATTTCATAATGTATCAAAGTATTGAATCACTAGGATGTACACCTGAAACTAACTAGGTATTGTGTGTCAATTATATTTTGATAAAATAAAATAAAATAAAGTTCTGGTGATTGCATTTAGTTGAATATTTATGCACCCCCTTCCTTGTCTATACATACTCATCATTAAAAATTAGGGAGAAAATAGTACAATAACATAAAAATTGATGAAATAAGGGCAGAATGTTAAAAAAATCTATCTTTTCCAAAAAGCTTTCTTTTCCACCACCATTATCTATGACCATGAACTGGCTAGTGTTAGAATGACCATATGGCATGGGATGATGAAAAAGGATTTTGGAATGATAGGAAAAAAAAAAGGAAACTCTTAAGTAGGTATGTCCAGTGATCAAAGACTGAAACACACATCAAGTGATTTTGGTGGAAATCTGAATTATTTTGTGTGTGGATATATATATATATATATATATATATATATATATTCATTCCACATGCATTTCTTCCAGGGAAAAATTTTTGAACTGAACAGCCTTAATAAAAATGTGGAAATTTGAAATATGCCTGTCTTTTCCTCATTTTTTTAAAATATTTCTGTTTTAGATTGGCAAAGGAATAATTAGCATCCTTGAATGCTTAAATTACTTAATGGCATCAAATCATTTCAACTTAGATTGTTATGTAAGTGTCCACTCCAACCACCAATCAGATCATGCCAAAGAAATCTAGTTTCTTTAAAATAACTTAGTGTTCAGGTAAATCTACAGGAATGCCATTAGTCTTCGCAATCAATTTATAATACAATTTGGCAACATTTTGCTATTTATTGGGCATTTAACTTTACATGTGAGAATTCTCTTGCAAGGTAAAATATTCTGATTTACATATTATACCAGAATAGCATAAAGTTGTATATAGCACTGAAATAACTACTATCATAAGTGAAGATAAAGTTTTAGGTATGATAATACATTTCTAAAGTGAAATATAAAGGCCTTAACAGATTTCAAATCCATGTTGCTTTAAAATACTTAAACAAAAATCAAGTATGCCTATGGGCTGAGAAACAAAACTCATGTTGTACTCTTATGTTTCATTAAGTAGCAATTTCGTTTAATTTAAAATCAATTGCAAAGTTAGAAAAATATGACTTAAGGGTGTTTTTCTATACATTGCTACACTCACTAATGAAGACTCTCCATGTGCCCTTCATTTCTCTATGTCCTTGGCTGCTTTCCCCTCCCCCAGCTCACCCACAACTCTCCCAACTCCAACACATGTGTTACAAGTTTACCAAAAGTTTCTTTTTCTTTTAAATAAAGTATTGCCAGTAAATTTGGATTTTTATCACTAAGTCCCTGTACATTAATTGGTCAATAGTTCATGCAGATCTTCTCTTCAGGCATATTTCTAACCTATTTTTAACATTCAGTATGGTCAGTATAATTTCATGGTCTCACTGGTTTACTTATGTTCATCTTGACAATAAGAAATATTAGAAATTCTGAGTATGATACCGTGCCCATAGAAGGTACTGGGATTAATTAGAAACTAAATATATTATATTGGACTAACCATATTTACTTATGTTTTAGGAGACATAACTTCGTGCATATCAGAATCCACATTACTTTGATTGTAGTATAATGGGAAGGCTGGAGGTGTTTGCTTTAGATCAGATTTCTAATGCTGACTGTATTGCAAATCACAATAATTTTGAAAAAGTTTCTTGGCTACTCCATTTTTATTTATCTATAAAACGAAGGTTTTGGACTATAGTTTATCTCTAAGTTCCTCCTAGCTATAAAATTTGTTTAGAGTTTGGTTGTATCCAAACTTAACAGAATGGTAAGCTAACACTGAGAAATTTTAAGTGTTTTTATCTTAAGTCTTTGGTTTCTATAGCTATTCTTTTTAAGATTCACCTTGGGATATTTACTAAATGCAGATTTTCCACTACAGACTGGTGGAGTCAGAATAACTTATGCATTTTAAAAAGCTTTCACAGTATTTCTGACATAGTTACTCTTGTCTTTGTTATTTCATAGTAAAATTTAGAATTTTGAGAGAGAAAATAGTCCTTTTTCCTTTGCTCACACATATACAAGGGCGTATGAAAGTTATAGTTTTAAAAGCCTGAAAAATAAATGATATATTGCTTTGTTGCAAATAACTGAATATGCAATAGGCAGATCAATGTGTTTTCACATTTCATTATACAATATTACCTTTTTCCTTTAGGGAAACTGGAAGCTTCACTTCTTTCCCCTTAATAGGCTCTGGAAAAAAAACAAAAACAAAACATTGAGCCTTTATTTGAAGCCAAGAAAAAAGGATTTGAGAACACATATATAATGGAGTCAGTGAGCTATAAGTAAGGTGAACTTGGGTGGAACTTATATAATGTTTTCTTACAAAAATGATTTTAATCATACAGAGACAAGGAAACAACAGCATAGAGTACAACAATCCATCCTCCCTGATCATTTTCATTTAAAATAAATGTAAATTGTCGAATGAGTTACAATCTATTTGTTCATTTAAGAGAATGGGCTTTGGATGGACAGGAACTATTTTAGCTGTAATTTTTTTAAAAACATATGGCTTGAGGCACCTGGGTGGCGCAGTCGGTTGAGCTTCCGACTTCAGCCAGGTCACGATCTCGCGGCCCGTGAGTTCGAGCCCCGCGTCAGGCTCTGGGCTGATGGCTCGGAGCCTGGAGCCTGTTTCCGATTCTGTGTCTCCCTCTCTCTCTGCCCCTCCCCCGTTCATGCTCTGTCTCTCTCTGTCCCAAAAATAAATAAAAAACGTTGAAAAAAAAATTAAAAAAATAAAAATAAAAATAAATAATAAATAAAAACATATGGCTTCTAGAAGTCTCCCAAACTGTTATAATCAGCACTAACTTAGTTTATTTCTTTCAGGCTATGTGATTATTTTTTTTTAAATAAACAAATGGAAAACCCTACATCTGTCATGTAAATGTGGTGCTTCAGTCATCAGACTCCAGTCAAACACATTTCAAGAATAAGACAGAAATAAAACACAAAAGCCAATTTTATCTATAAACTCCCACCATCATAAAAATGTGGCCCGTACTTTAAAAAAAAAAAACAACTTCGTTTATTCTACCAGGTTCAAATATAAAGTGATTCTAATCATATCATGTGTTCCAGACATATATGTGGGTGATGTCTTGAATAGGATCATACTTCCTCAATAGCCTATGTAAAAGATAAACCAGTTTTTTGCCTTGTCTGCAACATATCTCAGTAAACATTTTACTGACAAAAATTACTTTTGATGCAGTGAGAAAGGAAGGGAAAGGGGAATAATCTATCCTTCCAGCCCTTTGTTTTATTCCCACCTCATGGTGTGTGTGTCAGGGGGAGAGTGCAGAATATGATGGTGGGACTCGTAAATGAATATCTCACTCAAGCAATTGCTTAGAATTGAGTCCAGGTGACTTTGGATAGTGTCAAGAATGGACTTAGGAGTTCTATTGAAAAGGCTGTGTCCCTCAAAGCAAGATTTTCTTGGTAGAAAATATCCATATTTTCCTTTCCATGTCCTTAAATATCCATATGTTTGCAGAATATTTTTAAATGGCTTTGGTGGCAAGGAAAATTCCGTGTTGCCATTTAATGTGCTAAGTATAAGTAGGGCCTATTTTTTTTTCTGTATTTCAGCATCTGAAGATGAAATCAAGAGCCATGGATTGAATAAACAGACTGAGAAGCTTCATTAACTTTTTTCAAGCTAATGGGGGTAATTTACTGCTTTTGCATTTCCTGGCTAAACCAAAAAAAAAAAAAATAATAATGTATTGTGAAATGAGAAATGTTGGTGGGGACAGATTCCTAGTGGGGTGGGAGAGTGCAGCACCTGGAATTTCAAGTTCAAGATACAGCATATTGATTTAAGTGGGGAGGTGTATATGTTTGCATGAGATTAAAGTAGTTATAAAACACAAGAATGAGGGAGAGAACCCACAAGCCTGTTTTGATATTGGTGGAGAAAGAAAGAAGAGGTGGAATGTAAATTTATAATGTATTTGAAAGTCATAAACTCATCACTTTAAATGTGGTGAAAGTTCACCAAAATCAGACACTCAACTGACTGAGCCTTCTAGGCCACTAAAATTGATTTTAAAAAAAATGTTCATTTTTGAGAGAAAGAGCACACTTGTGTGTGAGCAGGGGGTGGGGGAGAGGCAGATAGAGGGAGAGAGGGAGAATCCCAAAACATCCCTCACTGACAGCACAGAGCCCAACCTGGGGCTTGATCTCAGAACCATGAGATCATGACCTGAGCCGAAATCAAGAGTCCCACACTTAACTGACTGACTGAACCACCCAGGCTCCCCAAAAGTGATTTTTATTTCCAAGTTCAATAATGGGAAGATGCCTTCTGCTCCCAGGCTGGATCATTTCTTGCACTGATTTTCTTGAAGGTCATTTCCTCTCAGTGTCCATTTTGATTTCAAGGGGTTTTCACCTGATTTAGGAAGTCCACAGGCTAAAGTAGGAAAGGAGTGGGATATCAAATCTTACCCAAACTGTGAAGAATGTTATATAGTAATTCTGTACTTGTATATTAGGAAGGATAAGGATATTGTTGGCTTGGGTCAGCTATTAAGGTATTTTTTTTTTTTAAGTCATCTGTATTGTTTTCCAGGAGCAAAGCATTGGAGAGCACTTTTTTGGTGTGATTTTACAAATATGGTAGTTTCTTTGTGTTTGTCCAAGAGCCTACAGAAAAGCTTATGAAGCTTGATTATCAAGATCTAGAGGTGCTGGTTGGATCAGTCAGTTAAGCATCCGACTTTGGCTCAGGTCATGATCTCGTGATTCATGACTTCGAGCCCCACATCGGGCTCTGTGATGACAGCTCAGAGCCTCGAGCCTGCTTCAGATTCTGTGTCTTCTTATCTCTGCCCCTCCCCTGCTCACACTCTGTTTCTATCTCTCTGTCTCTGTCTCTCTCTTTCTCATAACTAAATAAACATTAAAAAATTAAAAAAAAAAGATCTGGAACATATTTAAAGATGCTTGGATATAATTTAGAATTCTCAAAGTCATCTGGGCAAGGAGGTTGTGATGGAAAAAAAAATTCACAGAAGAATAGGGAAATGGTTTCAGGTTTTTAATCCCTCTACACTGCCCCAGATAAAGGCAGTAATAAACTAGGGTGAGTGTCCACAATGAACTCTAAATCATTGGGGATCAAAGTCCTCAGACAACTTACCTCATCCTTAGCTCTACCTTTTGTTTGTACAGGTGGGAATGGCCAAGAGAAAGCATGTTTATGACAAATAGAAATTGGGGGATCATCATGTGCATGGTCCCAAGCATCAGAATATAAGGAAAGACAAGCTCCACTGAGAATTCTCTGGCATTAGATCCAAACATACACAGGCCTGGGTCACAAAATTAGAAAATACTTCTAACATCCATCATATTACTCCAATACCAGAGTAACCTAAGAGTGCTACTATTGCAGTCTCAGTAGAGGAGAAATTAATCTCTTTGTTGCCTTGTTTGGGTTCAGTCTGCAGTGCCTCAGACCATGGGTGATTCTTCTATCATCATATAAATCAGACCAGCTGTTACAGGTGACAGTAAGATAGAGAATATAACCAATAATAGGCATGTCTAACAGGATTGTCCGGTTTCTTGATGTTCAAGGCCACACAGGCTTCTGCTCTTGCAGGTGTGTTGAGAGGACTTAGGTGAGTCCACTAGCCAAGGGAAGTCAGTAGCTGAACCAGCAGCAAAAGCCAGCAAGATGTGTCTTTCTCCTGCTCTTTTTTCTTCCCTACACCTCTATCTTCTTAAATAAAGGCACAGTCTAATCATGTTTCCCTAAATCCTTAATTTGCTCATGGTCATCACATTCCCAATAAATGGGGCCTCAAAGGATTTCTGGGTGATAACCCGAGGTTTATGAGTTGTAGCACTGTTTCAGTATGTATTCTAATGTGTACATGCAAGTGGAATTGATGAGACTGGCAAATGTAGGCAAACTTTTAGCAGCTTAATAGAAATAACTCACAAAATACAGTGACTCCAATGCAATAAGTGGATTTTTTAGCAAGTGGAATTGCTGCATTCTGATTCTGCCACAGTTCAGCAGTAGGCTTCAAAGAGCCTCTTCAAATACAGTAATATGGCAGAAGTGTTTAATATCCCTGAAATATTACAAGTAATGCTGTACTTTATTCTTTGAATTTTTTTGTAATGATAAATTATACTCAGAAAACAAAGGAAAGGCAGTAATAAAATTCTTCTAAAATAGTATCTAACTTATACATAACAAAGACATTTGATGGCATTAACACAATTGAATAATAAGACAGGTGCATTTGAAACAGTTCTAAATCACTAATCATATGCAGTGAACCTTTATATACATAATTTTCTAGTGACTGTGGAGACATCTTGCAAAATACAGGATTTAACATTAAAGACAAAGTATTCACTAGGAAATTGCCTGGAATTGTACATTAATAACAATAACAACAGAAATAGAAATTATAGGAGTCTGCTTAGTGAAGTGGTCAGTGTGGATTTAAACCCCCCAGATAATATTTTCCGGGACAGATTTTTACAAGTGCCATTTCCAACTAGCTTGAGCTTTGGCACAAGTGAAGTCTTTTAAGTAGTAGTTTAAATCTTTGATAATCATCAGTGCCTCAAAGGTAGTTTTAGAGGTAAGCTCCAGTCTTTCTTTTGAACTGCTTTTCTTGTGAACAAATAATATAAGGCCCAAATATTCCTGTGGCATAATTGTGAACCCAAATAAATGTATCTCACACTACATTGGAAAGAGGGAAGGTTTACTTTGTGAAAATTATGGTTTGCAAATCATATACATATATATGTATATGTGTGTGTGTGTGTGTGTGTGTATCTATCTATCTATCGATTCATCATCTAGATATAAATATCTCTATATATCTCCATATATATGTTTGGATTTTCCTGGTAGTATGTTTCAATGACACTTCAGTTCTCACACAATCAAGGAAAATAATCTCATTAATTGTCAGATAAAATGAGAAAGGAGAATGAGGAATCTCTATCAAAGTACAGATAATCACTGGAGAAAAAATAGACTAAACTCTTCTGTGGGAATTAAGGGGCGCCCCTCCCCCCAATAGCTAAAGGACTAAGACTATATTTACATACTGCAGAGCCAATGTATCTGAGTCAAATAGATTTTTCAAACTTAGGTAATGACTCTACACTCAAAGAAAAATTGCTTTGAAGAATAAAAATATAAGAACCTTATTTAAGAAGCAGTTATCTGTGTTAAAATGAAGAGATGGACTTTAGTGTCTGAAAGACTGAACTTTGATTCTTGTCTTCACCTCTTACCTACGATGTTATACTGAGTATCTTACATTATCTCTGTCTCAGCTTCCTTGTTTATAAATGATTAAGATCTCAAGCACAACTTGCTAAAGCAAAATGTATAAAGTAGATATCAAAGAGCAGATGCCCTGCTTCGCTCAAACGATTCTTTTTTTTTAAAAAAATTTTTTTTTAACGTTTATTTATTTTTGGGACAGAGAGAGACAGAGCATGAACAGGGGAGGGGCAGAGAGAGAGAGGGAGACACAGAATCGGAAACAGGCTCCAGGCTCTGAGCCATCAGCCCAGAGCCCGACGCGGGGCTCGAACTCACGGACCACGAGATCGTGACCTGGCTGAAGTCGGACGCTTAACGACTGCGCCACCCAGGCGCCCCCGCTCAAATGATTCTTACACATTTGCCTGGCTAATTCCTCATCCTCCTACTTGAATTTAATATAACTTCAGGAAAGCCTCCTCAGATGCCCCACATTTGACTAGAATCCCCCATGGCAGTCTCTTATAGCACCCTGTATATCTCCTCTATAATTCTTATTGCTTTAATTAATTATGTAATTAATACTATGAATTCCATGAAAGCAAAGACCATGACTTTCTTGTACTCCCAGTGTCTGGTGAGTACATGTTCTGATTATTGCATACTAGATGCACAAAAAGTAATTATTAAATGTGGTACTTATCTATCCACATAAATTAATGTGAATAACATTAACTCTTGATGCTTAAATAGGTGGTATTTCAAATAATTAATAAAATACACACACACATATATATGTGTATATTAGATTATAAACAGAAGATTATAAACTCTCTCAGAAGAGAGAACTCAGTGCAAGTTGAAATAGATAGAGAAGGCTTGATGTTTTATGCTTGGAAAGAGACCTGGGATTTAGCTGGACATAAAGGAAAGTCAGTCCATTCCAGAGATTGAAATTGCAAAATTTAAATAAGAATGTCATGCTCTTTCATAGTAACATAGAGCCAGACAAGACTCAAGCATACAGAACTTGACTAAGAGTCTTTGAAAAGAACAATTCAGAACTCTAATTCCAGAGTCTTCCTCCCTATTACCAGCTTTGCCATCTTTGTTTTCCAGTGATTAGCAAGTGTTTGGATAGATTCTGCACTAAATATATATTTTCTGAATGGATAGAAAAGAGAGAATCAAAGCACGTAGGGCAAATTCTTTCCATAACTTTTACTTTCCTTCTAACTTTTTCCCCCTCTTCTCATTCTTTAAGGAAAAATCCTCTTTCTTTTTTCTTTCTTTTAGAAATTGTAATCAGAGCACTTTTTAATTGACAATGAACTAGAAGAAAGTTTTTGAGGGACAAGTAAATAAATATAAGTTTTCAAATATATGAATGTGACCTGTGAAGTTTGGGCTCACATATCTGCAAAGGAGATGACTCTAAGGTACTATGGACTCTTTCAGATAGTTTTGCTAACAAATTTCTAGTATTATATCAAATACTAGTGTTACATCAAATTGACTCTATTACCTTTATCCTTCAAAACTGAGGAAGTCTTCCCGGATTTTTCTTTTTTAATTTCTGCAAGAGGAATCATAGGGAGGAAAGGTTACAAGGAATCACAGAGAGGAAAAAAAACTGCAAGTTTTTCATGTTTTGTTTTGTTTTGTTTTGTTTTGTTTTCTTGTTTTGCTTTTTTTTCTACTGAGGCTTAAAGACTCAGAGGGGCTCTGAGTTGATATTCAAGACAGACATATCAACTGGCACAAGTTGCCTATAAAACACATGCAAAATATGCAAAAGACACAAAATAAGCCCACAAATTATTATCACAATTGGAAGATTATGATAGACACATAAAAGATACAAATAAAATGCTATAGGCTTTGAGGAAAGAAGATATAACAATGGTAGCTAACATTGTCTATACTATATATCATAGGGAATGCTCTCTACTGTTTGGTCATTCAATGTTCGTAACAACCCTGTATGGTAGGTAGATCCTGTTACTATTTCTGTTTTTCACATGGAAGGATTAAATAACTTTTCCAAGGTCATGTGGCTCATGACAGGAGACCTGAGATATAACTGATATTTTTCTGTACTCAACCACAAAGGTACTGGCTCTTATAGCTGAATGATAAGATCAGGAAAGGCTTTGGAAGGCAGGTGATACTGAGAGAGACCTTGAAAATGGAAAAGGTTTAGAGAGATATAGATGAAATTGAGAGAAAGACACATTTTAGAAGGACAGCAGAAAGAATGGGGTGGCGTGAGCTGGTCATCTGTCCATTTGCTCAGTCACCTTAACCAACAGAATGTAATGGAAATTATGCTATGTGATTTCCTGGGTTAATCATGAAAGATCATGCACTTTCCATCTGCTTCTCTAGGGACAGTAGCCCTGAGGAAGCGAGTTGCCATGTCAGTAATCCAACTAACACCACCATGTTGGAAAAGCTACATATACACAGCCCAGTCAATAGCCCTAAGACTATGTTTGATTACAGGCACATGAGATACCCAAGTAAAAACTGCCTACTTGATCCCTCCTAAAATTCTGACCCTCTAAATCATGAGCACAGTAAAACTAGCTATAGTTTTATACTCCCTAAGTTTTGGAGTGGTCTGTACACAGAAACAGCACTTGAAACCACCAGCTAATAAATAGCAAAATATTGCAGTGTGTGGTAAGTTCTCCTGCGAAGCTCCATAAACAGTGAAACTCCATAAACAACAGAGAAATGATTAATTAACTCTACTTTATAATTGAGATGGCTTTCATGAGAAGATGCCATTTGAGTATAAGCCTCCTAAATTGAGTAGAGTCTCACTGGTTAGGAAATGTCAATTTAGCAATATAACTGGATGTAGGATATAAAACAGATGAAAAAATGCTGAGGATAACTTCAGGAGTTGTACATGTTTTACGGAAGGATAATCTGCTATCAATTGAAATGTAAAATGTAAGAAATAGAAGACTTTGGAGAAAGATATCATGTTTGTTTTGAATATATTTTGTTTCATGTAGCTACAAGACACCCAAAAGAGCAAATGTCTAGCAAATACTTGGAAATACAGGTGAACTACAGATAATTTTCAACTGTTGCAGAAGCAAAGCAACCTTCAGTCTCATTTATAAATGGAAACAAATAATACAATCAGTAAAATTAATTTTGAATGCCCCAACAAATCTTATTTACTTATACATACTGACCCTACTTAGTGAATAAACTAAGTATACAAAGGCAAAATAAACCAGAAAGTTAAAAATTATTTTCTTAATAATACAGGCAAATTGAAAAAGAGACCAATGGGTTATAATTTTTTACTTGTATGTTTCAAATCTGATCTTATATAAATTGCCAATATTGAAATATTATTCATATATTGGTGGTAAGAAACTTAATTTTATAAATTTTGCTTAGCTATTGCAAGATGTTTAAAACTCACACAAACTGTGTTCAAAATAGCAGTGCAAGTCAGGTTTCAAAAACTTACTGGGTAAAAATTGTTTTAAGAGAAACATATTCGATTTCAGTAAGTTCAGGAACTTTTTTTTTTTTAATTTAAGGGCCTAAATATGTCTGATCAAAATACACAAAAATAAAATAGCATTTGCTTTTTCTTCTAACATGGTCTTGTGGAAGATAAAATGTATTTATAACAACAGTGTTTCTTTCTAGAATTTTTTTTTAAATGTCTACAAAACAGGCAAAACAGAAGACTGAAATAATGGATAATATTGTAGCAAAGGAAATCAGCACTAGAGGTTTTCTCTAGCACAAACAAATATTTTGAACCCCAAGCAATGTGTTTAAAAATTTTTTAATGTTTATTTACTGTTGAGAGACAGAGACACATACACAGTGTGAGCATGGGAGGGCAGAGAGAGAGGGAGACACAGAATCCAAAGCAGGCTCCAGGCCCTGACTGTTAGCACAGAGTCCGACATGGGGCTCGAACTCACAAACTGCGAGTTCATGACCTGAGCTGAAGTCAGACACTTAACTGACTGAGCCACCCAGGCACCCTTAGAGAGCTCCATTTATAAGTTTAATGATACCTGATAATTTCCTGGATATGACTATTAATATACATCATATAGCATCAAAAGTATTAAAGTTGTTTCATAACGTTTCTATTCCTTCCTAAAGTGATACAATATTGTTCCTAAAGTGATTTAATTGTGATTAATTGCATGAATTTTTAAAATAGTTAATATGTGAATGATCTACATGCATCTGTCATTGTTTTATGTTCATTTGGACATAATTTTTGACAATCAGAGATATTTTAGAAAAGGCGTTTTATAGAATTTAATACATTTCACAAACTCCAAAATATAAATTTTATGAATCAATACAGAGAAAGCATTCTTAAGTTCTCTAAATGGTTTAAAATACTATGATTATAATTCCCATGGGGAAAGATATAATGTATTGATATTTATTTGATAATAAGTTTTAGTGCTCCTTAAAAGATGTTGTCAGAGTTTAATTTTACTGGGAACACTGTCCATTAACTTTGTAATTAAGTATGACATGATCAGAGGCTGTCTTGAACTTTCTCTTGGTGCTAATGATATATTTAATCATTCCCTATTCTGTGGGCTAAAGAACTTGACAAACGTAATTGTAATATTTTAGAATGTTTTTCTCTAAATATCTGTTTAAGTATCCTTAATTAAAAATATTTCCAATTCAATTATATTTATATGTTGGTATCTTTTTTAATCTATTTGTTATTATTTATTTCTTAGCCTTCACATTTTTTTAAAAAAGAATATGATTTTGTAACCAACATTATCATTTACCTCTAATTGGACGGCCTAATTAAAAAGCATAATATAAAATTTGTTTGAATGACATCTGGACAATGTTGTCAGCAACTGGAGACTATGGTGAGGTATTCCTGAAATAATGTAAATAAGGCAAATTATACTGTTCTTTGAAAGTTTAGCTATATAATCAGTACAGAGTTGGAAGGTTAGTGAGCTTAGAAAGACCCAACCATATAATACTATAAATACACATTCAAAGAGCTTTCTTGCATTACTCAAGCGCTGTAGAGATCTAGGCAAACTGGGCTGTGTTAGTATATTAAGACTGACACGGAGCACAGCATAACATTCAAAACAACTAACAGATGTAGGACTTGTTTAATACACATCTTGCAGTCCCCATGGGGGAGAAAGTCTTGTCCAGTGGATTCAGTATTCTCGCTTTTAGCCAGCTCTTCCCTGCTCTTCCCTACCATAGTATAAGTTTTCAAATTATCCTAGTTGAGGGACTCTCCTAAAATCGTCTAAATACCTCTTTCCTTTAAATTCTGATTGAACTTTATAATTATGATGATTTTACGCTGCGGTAGTTTGGCTGCAAAAAGTAGACTCTGCACATACCTTTATATTCTGGCCCTCATTACACGCTACTAATCTGAATACTGATCAGAATTTTGGGAATTACTTCAGTGGGGTGCATTTTAGTCATTTTGGTTCATCTCTGCCCAGCTCTTGCAGAAATATCAGCAATATTCAGTGATTAAAAAAAATCACTTCTTTAAATATTTGGGACCCAAGATAAACTAGGACCTCCTAGGCACAGAATTAGCTACTGAGCCCTAAATCTACTACAAAAGATTTTGTTTTTCAAAGAAAACTTTATTAGCCATAAAATTTTTCTCATCTAATAATGTTTGGCCAAGATGTCAAAGTTCTCACATTTGTTTCAAGAAAAAATATCATTATAGGACTGTAATTTGCTTGGGGGCAGGCAAAGCCAAGTCTGGCCATTCTTGCACTCACATACAATGATAAAACGTTACTTTATATTGTTAAGCATTTTACATATGATTTTGCTATGAACTGAATGTTTGTGTCCCTCCAAAATTCATATGTTGAAACCTAAAACCCAAAATAATGGTATTTGCAGGTGGGGCTTTGAAAAGTGATTAGGTCATGAGATCAGAGCCTTTTATGAATGAGATAGTGCCCCTGTAAAAGAGGCAAAAGAGAGCTGATCTGTGTCTGTGTCTCTGTCTCTCCTTCTCTTCCTCTCTCTCTACCAAATCAGGAATGAGGGCATCTATCTGCAAACCAGGAAGAGGACTCTCACCAGGAACCCAATTGACTGGAACTATGATCTTGAACTCCCCAGCCTCCAGAACTGTGATAAATAAATTTCTGTGTATGCCGCTCAGTCTGTGCTGCTTTTGTTATAGGAACCTCAAGCTGACTGAAACAAATCTCTTTAATTTCTCACTCATTTCAGTGAGTTAGGTACTATCTACATTTCATAGATTGACAACCAAGCTAAGAGAGGTAAAAACTTGCCCAAGATCACAGCTACTAAGCAGTAGTGGGAAACTTGAATCCAGACTATCAAACTACAAAGTTAGAGCTAAATATTATGCACTGAGAGAATAGTGGATTATAAAGTAGATAGCATCTCAGATGCCTCCTCAGAATGATCAGTGAGCATGTTTGCATCACAACGTCCTATCAATGTTCTCCATAACTACCCATTCACCACAGCCTTCCAAATACTTCTGAATCAGAACCATCTGGCACACACTAAGAA